GGAGTTCAGACACGACCTGTAGCAAACAAATGCTAGCATACCATTTTGCATTAAACGTTCTTTGTCCCTCAAGAGGAATAGTCGTAACATGGCCGGTTTTGGAGACAAACGTGGCCACCATTTTTTTTGCAACACTCCGTGAACGAACAATTTTTGTTGGCTTTAACTCATTTTTGAGCACCCAAACTCATTTGGTTTTTTGTTTCGGGTTCGTACGAATATATCCAGGATTTGTCACCTAATACAATATTGTATACAGCATTTGAGGATCCTGCGTGGAATTTTTTGATAGTTCTGACGCACCAAGTAACGCGAGCCGCTTTTTGCTCTTCACAGAGCGAATGCGGTATCTATCGGGAAAACAACTTTTTTACACCTAATTTTTCATGCAAGATTATTTGTATTTGACTAATGCCAATGTCTAAAGTTGCCTGAATTTCGCGGTATGTCACATGTCGATCTTCCTCAATCAGCTTACGCACAGCACCAACGTTTTCTTGGGTGACTGCAATTTTTGGACGACCTTGACGGGGATCATCACTGAGCTTGACACGTCCACGTTGAAATTCAACAAACCAGTGATAAATTGTGGTTTTGGATGTGGCTTCATTACTAAATACGAAAATCATCCGGTCAACACACTGTTTTTGTGTTAAACCACTTCGAAAATTATAATATATCATCGCTCTTGAATTTTCTCGAGTCAATTTCATTTTCTCAACGACTAAACAAGTTTGACAAAACCTTGTGACAAGACCGAGAATTTTTTTTAAATAAATAGTGAAGTGACGTAAGAATATACACTACCCCATATCATCACGTGGATGTTATAAGAGGCATCAGAGGGATACAAATCAGGAGATTAGCAGCAACATCTTCTTAATAACGTCAACCCGCTTGCCAAGCATGCCAACAATTGCAAATGTCCTATGATGCGATCTGTGGAATAGGTCTGTGTTTGACAGTATACTTTAATAGGCTTTAACAGTAACGGTAGTTTAGTGACAGACAAATGAAGATTATTAAGAAGAAAACTACGTTATTCACTAAACGTACTTCATTTTTATAACAATTAATTAAACGATGACAAAGTTGGTCAATTGCACTGGACTGCAAATAATTGGAATCTGACAAAAATATATCCATACATATCATATATCCACAATATGTATACATATATATATATATAACAAATATTGTCAGCTATTAATATACTACACGCAATATTGGCTTCAGCTCGGAAAATGTTAAATGTATGTTACGTTAGCTATTTGTTATACCTGTTATTTATTAGTAATTATGGGCAAAATACAATTTATTGGATGCTTAATAAATTTATCTATATATAATATATATATATATATATATATATATATATATATATATATATATATATATACTATATTACTAAATTCAATGCATGTTGTAATTACTATCAGAAAATGAATAACAATTATTCTGATCTAAATTAAACATTGATCTTTGTATTACTATTGTACTTACTTTTGTAATCCGAAAAAGATAAGTAAGCAAATAAATAAATAGTCTTCATGTTTAAATTACTCGTTAGTCATAGTCAAAATAGCTGTTAGACTAATGTTGACTTCCTCAGGATATGTTTACTCTAAATGCATTCTAATTAGTTAAAAATTTTAAAAATATAAAACGGTTTAATAGCACCTACCTAATCATTTCTTACTACACCCGAAACGTCGGGAATTAAAAATAAGTTGAAATAAGTAAATTAAACGCGATAGAATCCATCGATTCATAGTTTTATTCAGTAGCACCTACCGTTAAAAATACAAACACAGTTAAAAGAGTTCAATTTAAAAGTTTCAATTTTAAAGTTACTCCACCGCTGAACTTGGGCCATAAAAATAAAATCCCCCATAAAATGCCCCATAGGCAGGATATCCACCATAGTCTCACCGCTTCGCAAGCGGGTTGGCAATCGCAGTTATTTTTTAATTTTTAGTCATTATTAGGATGACTCTGCTACCCATCTCTTAATTTATTTCGCTCTGTCGCCTCTTGCGACACCCACTCCAGCATGCTAATGGGATAATGGATAATCTTACATCGCCACTACAGGTTACCTTAACACTGCCATTACATGGAATTCTTACACCATCACAACGTGTAAATTGTGTGCAAAAATGTTGCACCCGTTGAACCTAGATTTATTTATTACGAAGGCATTCACTAAGAAAGGAATTTGGAAAATTTAAATCCTTAGAAATGTAGTACCTAAAACATGGTGCTGCAGAAGAAACTTTTTATACGTGGCGATTTCATAATTGTATGGAGAACTATTTAAATGATTTTTGTAACTTGAAAATTATGTAGTTCGCAATTTTCGAAAAAAAAAAGAAATAATCTATATATAATAATATAAATCTTTTCTTAAAGTGTTAAATCGAAGGTGCAACTATGTACGCATGAAAAAAATAGTTCTTAATCGCGTGGTAGTGGGGAAATTCGTGAAACATAAATATGATAATTACGCGTAATACATATTTTAGAACTTTACAAATATTTTCCCCTATTTACTCTTTAAAAGGTGAAAAATTGTTTAACAAAATAGTAAATTTGTCTATTTATATTTGTGTATAGGTTAGTACTACAGAAATCCGCTATTAAATGACGTTAGCGCTGAGTTAAATGAAGCTTTTTTTTTACAACTGTAGGATTTTATTATATTATGGTTTAAATATAATTTTCTTACGTTTTAAGTGCGTTGTATTTATATTTTAAGTATTTTAGTATTTGAATATTTCAATGTCAAGTATTTTAAGGGCTGAATACTTTATTTCTTTAAGTGTTTTTACTGTTTCCAATATACCGGCATATATGCAAGAAAGAAGGGTTTGCAAAAAATTATTTCAATTTTTCTGCATGGACGTTTGTTTGCCCCGTAGCTTTAAAAAAGTTAAGAAACGTCCAAGAAGTCATATCCTATGGCACTATGACAATTCTTCGGCGCACACCTCGACTAAACAAAGCCATTCTTGACTTCTGAAAAACTGGAACTGGTGACTCATCCCGCACTCAGTCTAGACCTCTCACCATGCGATTTATTTATTTTCCCAAAAATCAAAAATTTTGAGAGATTACACATTAGAGATTTGATGGAGCCATGTTGCAGTTTTATTATGGTTGTAGCATGAATGGATCGGCTCGACCGGGATAGCAATATGCTCTCATACAATACCAGATAGAGTAGAAGCTTAATGCTGCTGTTTTTCATATAGTGTACTTCGGAGAGGAGGCATTCTATCTTAGTACTAAGTGGTGATTCTTAATTGAGGAGAATCGAAATTCTAAATTAAATCTAAATTCTCATCAACCTGTCCTCCGTTAAAATTCATAAGGCTGCTTTAATTAATTTTCCCCTGTGAAGCCCTTGTAATTGCCATACTCCAGGTGTCGGTTAATCTTAGCTGAAACGTTCAAATGTGCACTAGTTATGAAATGAACTTTACGTAAAATTCCTTATAATTTTGTACAACATCAATAAACCGTCTCTTTACCAGATACGATGACTGACAAATTTCAATCATTTGAAGATATGCTATGGATATCATTAGGTTCTTTTTGGTATTAATTACTTGAATTTTATTTTAATAACGCGAAATTTTAATCAAAAATACAACTTGTTACCTGACTACTAAAATAAAATATTTTTGAAGAGGGGGCAATCGAGCATGCAGCTCAACTGATGGTAAGTGACTACCGCCGCCCATGTACAACCGCAACACTAGGGGAATTGCAGGAGCGTTACTGGCCTTTTAAAAAGGAGTAAGCTCTTGTCTTGAAGGTTCCTAATTCGTGTCAGTCCGGAAAATCATCGGTGGTAAACAATTCCACAGAGAGGTTATACGAGGAATGAAACTCCTAGTGAAACGCACAGTGGCGGACCGCCAAGCATCCAGATGATGTAGATGGTATCGTGAGTTTTGACGCGATTTGCTTTCATGAAATTAGGCGGCTGGAATTAATCCGAACAATTCCTCAGAGCACTCCCTGTGGTAAATACGATAGAATACGCAAAGAGATGCAACATATCTTCGCAGTGCCAGTAAGTCAAGCCGATCAGAAAGTGCTCGGTCGCCGACAATTCGAACCGTTCTGCGCTGGATGCGGTCAAGTGGATGGAACTGGCACTGGGCTGATTTAACACAATGGTTGCAAGGTATTCCGCATAGTAATACGCAATAAAACATCGTTTTACGTACATCGTATATACATCCATTAGAACATATCAAATGTCAACTGTTGAACAAAGGCTTACCTCAACAAATGAAATCAATCTACCTTTTTTCCATAGTTACCGCGTTTGGCAGGCAGGTAGGTTAGCAACAGTAATGTTTCTTATTGTTTTTAGTTGTTATTAGGAATATTCTGCTGTCCAACTCCTGTGTAATTTCGCTCTGCCTCTTACGACACCAACGTGATGATATAGGATAGTAGCATGTTTTACCACTACACGGCGAAAAAATATCAATAGGTGTTTAATTTTCATCAGATTCAATTTGTAAATGTATAGTCAGCGATACTATAGAAATATTTTTATCCAATTCAAAGTTCTTTTACTAAATTTAAATACGATATAAGTAGTAATATACGACTAAATTAAGGCACTGCAGTTTAGATACTATTGCAAGCACGCGACGGCCACCGATAATCCGATTCGCGCTCCAGAAAGTACGATTTCACGGTGCACTGCTCACGAATATTTCTTGTTCGAGCTTCATTTGCGGAAATTAAAGAATAAATTGATACTTAAGAACAAAAGAAATTATTTAATTACACAATAAATATACTGTAAGTGTTTATATTTTTGAATTTCTACGGTTAACTATAATATTTAGACGTTGAACATCTCAGTTTCTCCCGTGACCATGGGTGCTGTAAAGTACTCGAAACGTCGGGTATTTAAAAAGTTAAATATACGCGTTAAAATCCGTAAAAACTAGTATTACTTTTTGCCACAAGCCTTATTTCACTTCACCCTCACTATTGACCTTTTTCTTTAAGATCAACTTGCACTTTACCACTGTTTTATTCACAGGTTTTCCACCAATTTCTTCACTGATTGTATTCAGCCACTGCTCCCTTTTTGGTCCATTTACAGCATCACCCAGAGATGCTAGCACAGCCATAATAATCTGGTTTACCCCTGGCACTTTTCTCGATATCTCATTGTTTTGTTGCTAAGCGCTGACCTCTTTGCCATATGATGTCAATGTCATTTGAGTTACTCGAGTCTTCTTCAGGAACATATGTTAAATCATGTTCATCAGTCCGTTCTTCATGGTTCGTATCAGAATCACATTTAGATTGTTCTTTTACCCACTGAATCCTGTATGTCATCACCTTTTTCTTGCACTATCACCTGTGATTTCATGCTTCTATTTTCTTGTTCCGTTACTATGACACATGTTAAGGGATCAAATAGCCTGTAGCCTTTAATGTTGTCAGCATAACCAACAAGGAAAAGCTGCTTGGCCTTTTTGTCCTATTTGAGACATTTTCCTTTTGGTATATGTGCCATGACTATGCTGCCAAAGATTCTGATGTGACTCACGTCTGACTTTTTACCCATCTATAATTCAAATAGAGTTTTGTGATGAAGACCTGCAGCCGTAGATCTGTTTTTAAGATACACTGCAGTATGTACTGCCTCTGCTCACAAACCTTCCTCAAATTGGGAATCAAATAGAAGACATTTATCTTTCACTATTATGAACCTATTATATCTCTCACAAATTCCATTCTGCTGATAGATATATGGATTTGTCTTTTGATGACAATAATATCATACTGCTTTAAATAATTGACTATAACTGCCGAACGAAATTCACCACCATTTTCATTTCTCAAAATCTTGATTTTTGTTAGTTTCTAGTTTTCTATTAAGTTTTTGAAATAATTGTAGCAGGTGAAAGTCTCATCTTTAGACTTGAGAAAATATACAAAAGATATCCAACTGTAGTAGTCTAAGAACAACAGAAAGTATCTGGCATTACCAAGTGACTTGGTTTCCATAGACCCACAAAGGTCCGCGTGCACCAAATTCAAAACCCCCTTGCTTCTTGACAAACTGCTGGAAATAGGTAATGTTGTTTGTTTACCCTCACAACAAACTTCACTTCAGTCATATTCTAATTTAATGTGAAAAGTCAGTCCCTTCATTGCACCATTTCTCATAGTGTTAAAGTCATTATTATTTATGTGACCAAAACGCCGGTGCCAAATCCTACTGGTAACCACTGTCAAACTGGCTTCTCAAATATATTTCTTCCTCTGATTACAAATGTGACACACATTCTCTTTGAATACAAAACTGTTGCCACTGCATATCATTTTACTTTCGGAGAGAAGTTTTGAATTTAGGTTATGTATACATAAAACATTGTTAACTTTTATGTTATACTCTGAATCTCCAACACGTGTAGTTATCTGTAGATTTCCAGAACATAAAACCGGTACACTTTCCTTATTTGCTACTACAATATCTCGAGTTTCTGTCTTGTACGAAATATCTGTCAACAAACTTTTGTTTGACTCGGAAATCAAATGAGTGCTCGTGCCCCAGTCTACATACTAATTTTATCACTAAATTCGCTAGTCAAGTACATTGCATTAAATGCGTTAATTTGTTTTTAACGTTTTGCAGTGTCCGGTAATTTTAAATTTGTAATATATCATGATTTTTATCGGCTTGTTAGAATTGTCACCAACCTGGCCGATGCCATTTTTGCCTTTGCTCGTTTGGCGCGCATGTTGTTGATATTTATTTTTCGCAATAAATGCGCTCTCAAATTTAGTGATTTCGATATCTGCACTCATGTGCAATAATTTCGTCTTAATAGCATTCACACGAATGTTTATCGCGTAGTGTTTTATCGCCATAATCATTGGTGAGAACTTTTCTGGTAATCCTACCAACAAAAACGAGCCAACCCACTCGTCATTTATCTGAAAACCTGCACCTTTTAACTTTTGTGCTGTATTCACTAACTGTGTCACGTACGCAGTCATCGAGTCACAATTTTCCAGACGAATGGAGATTAAGTTTCAAAGTAGACCCGCCGTATGGGTGAAACCAGAGTGGTTAAATAACACCTTCAAGTTGGTTTTGGAATTGTAGTTTAACTTTTAATATGTACATACAGTGATGTGTCAATCGTCACCACCATTTTTGCTTAATACTTCCTGTTGTCTTGCTCACTTCACGCTTTCCTGTTCCGGATATCGATGCCTTCCAGGATTACGAAATTTTCAACGGCGAATGCCCAATCTTCGTAATTATTCCTGCCCTTGAGCTTCAGGGAAATTCAAGAAATAACTTCCTGCCATTATTGTGCAAAAAAACTGTACATAAACTAACTTTTACTTTAACGGGACTGAACCCATAACCTTTTAAATAAAACACGTGTAGCGGTTTGGAACGTACTAACATTTTCTTTGAATAATGGTAAGTTACAACAGCATAATTGCGCTATAGACAAGGTATGATTTTTATACAACCATAGATTACAAATAACAATGTCCTCATATCTCTAAATCTATTAAACCTTACAATTATTATTTTGTATGTCTAATAACGCCCTCTTAAATCATATCGAGAATCCTAAATTACGTAACTAAATATCAAGGTAAAGTTAGACCACTTCTTGGTGGCTCAGAAGCTTGAAATTTAGCATCAATGTAGATAATTCGACTTACACAAGAGACTTACTACATTAAATAGATTTACCAGGTTGTCAATCCATCTAGTGGGTGACCGCACTACACTTTGCTTACCGGTATGAAGCTGCCACTCGAAAACCTTTCTTCCCCATCGGTCATTATTTTGATCTATATTGCTGGCCAATTACCACTTCAGCTTACCTACTGATCCGTCAGGCTAAGTCGGTTACTCTGATTCTACTCCCGATATCACCATGACGAAGTCTATTACGCAGAGAAACACCGGGCATATCATTCTCCATAATTTGCTGTTCGACCGTTAACTTGCCAGCAGGGATGACCACGTCTCAGATCCGTCTCTCGGTCAATGATGGACTTACCTTGTCGGACTGAAATGAAAAAGAGTACGTTATTAAAACACATCTATGGCATCACATACTTTTGCTACCGATATTATATTTAGGCAGGCACTATGCTTAATGATCGTGGTACTGTGTAATCGATAGGTCTTATAACTTTAATACGCCTAAATAATTTAAACTTGCTATTCTACAGGCTTCATTAAACTAGCGGTTCATTTTTGGTTAGATGTATAATTATTTATAATTAGATTCTTGTTCTACTCATAATGAAGTTGTGTTTGCATTCAAAACGCAGGTAAAACCTATTTTAATGAAAAATGTTAGTATGAATTCGATGATTATTTAAGATATAAGAATAATTGACCATAATGAGCTTTCTTAGATTTTTTTAACGTGTATGTATTTCAAAAAGTAAAATGCTAACTATTGGATAAATAATATCCATCTTATGAGTTTCGTACCATTTCTTTTTACAATTTCTCCTATTGGTTATACTGCGATCTATCGGAAGGACTGACACCTAAGGGTCGAAATGGGTTGAAGTTCTCTTAGGCTGCCACAATACGATATAATGCATTATGCTTTATGATATAAAATAACTACATTTATTTGAAACTAGTGACCCGCCTTAGTTTTGCCTGTGCAAGGTCTATTAGCGTGGCGTTATTTAGCATTAACATAATAAAGACCATTTACTTCATCAATATATAGTGTTTTCAAAAAAAAAACAAAGTATTCTCAATATTAGCCCAATATTAAGCAGTTTTTTCGATATTACAGACAAACAATTCAATTTTATTTATAAATAGCGACCTTCCTCGGCTTCGCACGGTTAATCTGAATTCTACAACAGCGCCACCTACAGGGACCGACAATGCCTATGACCTTTGCGGAAGCGCGAGCAATATTTTGACAAAGTTTTACCGCAATCTGATGAACGTAAATTAATGCAAATAATAATTGTTATATATTACATGAACAGACTATAAAAATGATTTTATAACAGATATAAAATTAAACTAGCAGCAAAAATCACATGTGTGTTCAAAGATAAATGAACTATAAGTGCGACTCCGAAGCGAGTCAAGTTCCATTTTAAGCTACATTACGTGATCACGCCCACCTGCCGGAGGGGACAATATGTGTCTGTAGTGTAGTAGTCACGAATTAGTCAGAACGAGTGAAAAAGTTTTTCTTAGTAGTATTTTCGCTTTAAAATCGTCTGTTAAATTATTTACAAAACAAAAAAAAATATTAATTTTTATTTATTTATTACAGCTCATTAATGTCCACTCCTAATTATTAGGATCGATGGAAAATGTTAATTTTTATATGAATTTTACATTTTAGATCAAACACAATTATGACTACTTTCTCCTATGTTTTTTTTCAGATGAAACATTTGACATAAATACAAGTATATACAAAAAAAAATTAAAAACATAATTTTGGATTCGAAGAAGTCTCTAACATACTAATGAACTAGCGGAGTTAAACAATCGGTACAACAACAAAAAATACAGGAATATACATAAATGAACAATGTGGGAACAATATATAAATAATATATCATAATTAAACGTTTATCGAAATATCTATAAGAATAAATATCGAAAATTATTAATTTCAATTTATTAATTTTCTTCTTTCAAAAAAATACGTTTGGATTATTCAAGCCTAGAACAGTACCTAATTATAGACAGAATACGTAGAAAATAATGTTGAAATTAATATATAAATTTCCTTTTAAAAAAATAAGTAATGTTAAATTCTAAAAATTTACGATACACGGAAGAAATATAAAGCGAGTTAAGGAAAAACAATTTTATCAAGATTTCTCGTCCTTACGGGAGCTCATTATGATAAATAAAAAGAATATTATAACTTGTATTCAAGTGGGAGTTATAGGGTCATTGTATCGGGTTGCTATGATGAGGGTTTACGCCGGGTTTTTATTATTATTGATGATGGAAGAACTCCCTCAGATCTAATCGAGTTTTATTAGCTGACTTTAAAAAAATGGTTCTCCATTTATGGTCCTCTATTTATGGCCCTCCATGCTTATTAATTGACTGTACGCGTATTTTGTGTGTATTTTACGCAATATCATTGCCAATTGTGAACCAATTTTCATTAAAATTCCTTTATTTAATAGATTATATTAAATAGATTATACCTTAGGGGCAGTTTAATATAAGTTTGAAGAAAAGTACCACCCGTTAGGATGGCAAAACGGGGAGTGAAGTTATTAATATAATATAATAATAAAAATTAGGGTCAACTTACACCGACACGTGATGAGGCGCGCAACTTTTA